AACACTTCTATGAGAAGTGAAACAAGCAAAGACGCTACCGATGATATCCAAGAAGCTCAACCTGTTGAAGCAACTACGTCAGAAGATATTCTGAGAAAGGTGAAGGATTTCCTCCAAAAATTAAAGGAAAAAGACAAACTGTAAGGACATCTCTACAGTAAAAAGCCATCATCAACAGTAGATACACTGTTGATCCACAATAGATACACTGTTAAGGGGACTTATGGGACCCAACATTACTGTACAAAGATTCTAATTTTTTTTTTTTATAAATAAGTTTGTTTTTCATTTCATAAGGATAAGCTTGGAAACCCTTCTCTCTCTACTTTTCTCTCTCAATTGTAAAGCTCTCAATTTGTAAAGTTTGAGTTCACCTGATAATGACCGGAAGTAAATAAACTTGTATAGTTCTCTCATAGGCCTTGGAGTCGGCCATCGTTATAAGGTATTGATTTGTACCCTATTGATTTGTCAGACAATTTTGTGGATGAAATGAAAAATACTTTTGATTTTAAAAATCATGTTTCTTTAAAATTTAATAAACTTCATGGTTATCCCAAGAAGAAGAATAGTACTAAGTTTGCACAGAAACCAAGTATGCAAACCTATTATTATTCCAGACCAACTCCTCAAGATGTGTTAATAGAGGAATGTGACTGGAATCAGACTATTACCTCTTATAATGGGTCTGAAATTATTATTATTAATAATAATAATAATAATAGTAATAATAATAATAATAAATTCAAAAATCTCTACATAAATTACTTAACTTTTTATCTTTCCGTAACTCCTCTTATAAATGATATAATTTATGTGGATAAAGTATTCTCTTTTATGAAAGATAAAGAAATTTAATAATTTAAGAGGATGCAAATCTACATGGTTTGTTAACTTCAAATTTTGTTTTTGTTCTTCATTTATTTATTATTATTTTCTTTATTTGCTTTAACTATTGACATGCGTAACTAAAATCTAATTACCTATTCAATTTTAATACTTTTAATATCCATAACTCTGATCTTTTCATAATCATAACCTCCAAATATTTAATCTAAAACTTTAAGATATTTGTTGGCATTCCTTTATTTCTATCTATATATATTCATCTTTTTTATTGCATGAAAACCCTACCAAAGTTACCATTTTTTTTTATAGCTAAAGAAGATGAGGAAGACTGTTGAATTGATAGGATATGGAAGAAGGAGTCGATAAGAACTCGGAAAATTATGTACTTTACTTTTATTTTTTATTTTTCATCAATGTTATTATTGAATACGCCCTTCATTTGGTGGTTTTTGGTATATATTATTGAAGACTTGTTTATAATTGTTGCATTTTGTTACTCATTACATACATGTTTCTATAGAATTGTAGTCATTCTAACATATCTATAAAAATTCACATGGAACACACATGTCCAGAAACTAGTAGAACTTATATGCAAGAAGCATCAAATGTTATCTGATAATTCATTAAAAAGGAATGTTAAACTTTGGTTATTAGGCATTCCATCAATATTAGTTGTTGAGGAAGTTAGTCATGGCAAAAAATAGTGTAAAGCTTCTTGTTGTATGGGCAAGCCCATTCATGAACTGCGTTCACATAGCCCTCAAGATAAAGTCAATTGAATCTGAGTTTATACAACAAAATATGTTAACCAAAAGTGAGCTTCTCCTTAAATCCAACCCTATTTTACAAGAAAATCCCCATTCTAATCCACGACGAAAAGCCTGTATGTGAGCCCCTTGTCATCCTTCATTACATCGATGAAGCTTGACTTAGTGGTCCCTCAATTCTTTCTGATCATTATGATCGTGCCATAGCACGATTTTGGGCAGCCTATATAGATGAAAAGGTGAAGACTAAATTTCATATCCCATCTCATATCCTATAATTGTTAACAATTAAATTTGTAACTTATAGAAAAGAACTTCTCTACCTCTGAGGTAGGGGTAAGGTTTGCGTATGCTCTACCCTCCCCAAACCCACTTTGTAGGATTAGAATATCTCAAAAATTCCTCTTACATATTGTAGTGTCTGATTATTTTACATGCCCAAACAGGTAGTATATTTTTTCCTTTTGAGTGGTACCATGTTGAAATTGTGTGATCATGTTATCTAAAAGCTTAAGCTATTAGGAATAGAATATTTCTGATTGCTTAATTATATTGTTCACGCTGCAGATGTTCAGTCTTGAACATGTGCTGGAGAGTGTTAGAGTCTCACATTGTTTGAGAGAATAAATTTTCATCATGAGCTACCGAGGTTACCAAAGGTTTATTTCCTTAACAAATTTCTTGGAGGGTTCAAGTTTTTCTTTTCAGTGGTTGGTTGCAATAGTATTTACATTTTAATTAAGCTGCAGTGGTTTCCATTATTCCATTGCTTAGAAGTTTCCCAAGGAGAGGATGACATAAAGGCAACACTGGAGCCAGTGTTCGGCAGTCTGGTGTTGTTGGAAGACGCCTTCAAGAATTGCAGCAAAGGCAAGAAGTTCTTTGGCAGAGACAAAATTGGATACATGGACGTTGCACTTGGCTGCTTCTTGAGTTGGATGAGGGTAAACGAGAAGATGAACAACATCATACTTCTTGATGAAGCCAAGATTCCAGGTTTATACAAATGGGCAGAAGATTTTTGTGATGATAGCTCTGTCAAAGATGTTATTCCTAAAACTAATAAGCTTGTTGAGGCTGCTAAGGACCTTCTACCCAAAATTAGAGCTAATGGCATCTAGCTAAATGTGTACGCTCTTCCTCTTTCTAGCTGTGCTTAGCCTATGAAGCCTCAGTATCTATTGTTTAACAAAGTACTAAGAAATGAGTACATGAAGCCAAGATCTACTAATAATGGCATCTAGCTAAATACATTTTGCTTACTAATCTTTGGGCTAAGGCATACATTTTCATAGCTTGATATACCAAACTTTGAAAACTTTTGTCTTTTACAAGTGCACTAGTCTACATATATATTTTACGTTGTTTATTGTTGTTCTGCAACAAGCTCTAGTTTTACATTTCTTTTGACAGGAAAATAGAGAAATTTATTTATTTATATATTTAATATTTTATCGGCCTCCTTTCTTTTTACTTTTGGGTTGATACTATTGAAGTGTATAACCATCTCATCCAAAAGCTTAATTTGTTAAAGAGAGAACACTTTTATTATTTAATTATATTCTCAACACACTCCCTCATGTACGGACCAGATTCTTTTCCATGACCCAAACACGTGGAAATTCTTGTTGACTTGGGTGGTGATGAGATTCAATCTCATGACCTTTGCCTGCTCTGTTACCCTGTTGAAGTGTGTGATCATTTCATCTAAAATCTTAAGCTATTAGAGAGAGAACACTTTTATTATTTAGCCTTTTCATATTAAATTATATCTTCACCATGGATGATAGAATTCCTCCTCAACAGATACTAAGCTAGCGTTTGGCCATAAATTCTCAAATATCTTGTCAAGTCATTTTTGGGTGAAATTTCATCATGTGTTTTTCCACAACTTTGAGAAAAAATATTTCAATTTTTAAATAAATATGCTATATACATAAGTTTTTAAAACTATTAAAAAAATACCCATGAATTTGAATTATCATTTAATAATGAACACGTTCCGTGATAAGAATTAATCTCATGGCTTATAAGCTCCAATATGCTTATAAACAATTTCACATATCAGTGTAGGATCTATCTAAATTATATATCTACATTACTTTTGAAAAATTCTATGGAGAAATACCATTTCATAATCGAGATCCAAATAACAACAAAAATATCTTAAACATAAATACATTACATAAGTTCAGTGATTGCCTTCATAGTGCGTTTCTCAAATTTGTCAAGTTTGGATAATAAATGGTGGGTTTATTTTCTTATAAAATATAAGAGTTTGGGATAAATTTGATTTTTTAAAAGTTTCCAAAAATCGAATTTGGACACAAAACAAGTTTTTTTATATATGAAATATTTAGAATTTTTGTCATGTTTTCCCCAAAAACTACTTCTCTTTTTATGGACGGATGGAACCTAAATAATGTGAATCGCTTACCTTTTTACCTTTGTTTGCAGGACAATATATGTAAGATAATGACTTTCTCAGGACAAGGACCACAACCATGGTAGTTAAAATTATATCTGCAATAGGAGTCATACATGATGTGACCCTCTAGAAGTCTACAATTGGTAGTGGCACTATGACGTATGATGTATGTATGAGTATTAGTTGAAATGCACTTAACTTTTTTGTTGCCTTTATGCTGAGGCATGTGTGGTAGCTTATACTTAGTTAGTCTATCTGTATGTTTCAGTCTTTTTTCTTTTAGTATGCTGGGTGTATGGTTTGAAAATTAGATTTTTTATATTTATTTATAGATATATACTTGCAATTTTTTTTTCATTAAATAAATGATTTGGTAGAAAGGATATACTCCCACTAGCCCATTTGTGTCTGTTACCTTTTACTAAATTATTTTGTTTTCTTTAAACATATTTGGTCAAATACTCCAAAGTCTAATCATAAAGAGATAAAGGTAAAAAAAAATACACCTGAAGTATCACTTTTTGGTATGTTTCATACTTGAACTATCATGTGTTAACATTTTCTACCTAATGTATCATCAACTATTTATACCATGAGAACATTTCTTATCAATCTTTGTCACTATATGTTTAGACGCTCATGACTTAGCCTATTGGATATTTATGCATTTCTATTTTTGCTTGAGAAAAAACTATTGAGTTCAGACGAATCCATATAGGTTTCTATAGCTCCACTCATGTTGATGGTAAGTTAGAGACGGGAGCTGATGAGTTCGACTCATTTAGGGCATTGTTTTGATAGTATAAGTTTCATCAAATGCCTATTTTATGCTCTAAACTGATGTTGAAGTGTTGATTTGCAGCTATGAAGGCTAAGGAGCAAGTCAAGGACATGACTGGACAAAAAAGAACTAACAAGCTGAAGAAGGGAAGAAAAACGATCCTGGTGATCGCCAAGACCACTCGATGAGCCGCCGAGTGGCTCTTTAGATCGCCTAAAGTTCTAGCATGTCAGCCCTGGTGAAGAACCAACTTGGCGACAAGAATGGGCAGTCGGCGGATCGCTGAACGACTCCGCAGTGGCAACTTTATGCCCCTATAGTCACGGAACCCTGAAGACAAATGGCCAATGCAAAATGGCGATGGAATGGAGCAAAGGGTGGATCGCTGACCGGTTGGGCGAGGCCCGATTTATTCCTCCCAATGGTCTTTCAGGCCAAATTTTGGGCAACTATAAATTGGAATTTTAAATGAAATTTGAGGAGTTCCTGCTAGTTCCTCCCAGTTCTCTCCTAGTAGTTTTGATCCCCAAGTTTTAGAGTTAGAGTTTTCTCTTAGCTTTTCAGTTCTTATTATAAACTTTGAGGATTTCTAAGCTTAATTTTGAGGATTTGTAAGTGGGTTTCTGGATTTCTTCAATTTGGACCATTGTAAAGACTTGGGAACCTTTACCCAGATCATGGCTAATGTATTTGGTAATTGTTTCTCTATTTTTATGATGTGTAGCTAAAACCCCAATTCTTGGGGGTGTGATTATAGGCTGAATTTGCTTATGAGCATTGTTAATTACTGATTTAAATGCTTAATTGAAGTGGGTTTAATTGATAGCTATGTTTTAAACTAAGAATTGTAGTTGCAAATGCAATTCAGACTTAGAATTCTGGGATTGCTTGAAAAAGATGTTTTAGAATCAAAGCTTTCAATTGATGATTGTAGTTATTGGGTTGATATGGGTTTAGCTCAAAAGAGTAAATCCTAATCTCAATTCTACCTATCTAGCTCGAGAGAGTAGATGAAGTAAGGTGTGTTGTTCTTATTTGCTAAGCTTGTTGATGTTCGAAAAAAATCACTTGAATCGTGATAGTTGTTCGAGAGAAAACTATCTCACTTATAGTCTAGCCTACCCATTGATATTTAGCTATTTATTAGTAGTTTCAATTACTCATATAGTGAAATTTTCCTAAATCGATCACATCCTGAGAACACCTCTCTATATTATTATTTCCTTCGTGTTTGATTGTGTTGTAGCTGATAATTGACAATCCAAACCCCCTATTTGACATTCGTTGTCATTCCCTTAGACTTGTTTACATGGATTTTTGATAAAATTATATTCCTACAACTGAATAAACAACTTTATAACTGAATTTAGACACGTACCCCTCCCTGTGGGTTCGACCCCAACTTTTCCTTGAGTTTTATACTAGTTAACGATCGTTTACACCTAGAATCAAATGAGGTGTACTTGAAACATTAATAAAAATGGTGCCGTTGCCGGGGAGTGGTGTTGTTTAAAATTGTATTATTGACGTTGAATTGTGATCTTTTATTGTTATAGTTGAATCGAGTTACTTTGGTTTGTGTTTGTGTTGGTTTGTATTGAACAGAGGAAGAGATGAGCGTGAATGACAGTAATGGTAGCCAAGTGGGCCACCAAGACGATATTGGAAACCTTAATGATGTGAATGACCCAATTTAATTGGATGGTGTTGGTGCAATACGTGTACCTCTAATTGAGGGGAATGATGTCTTCCATGTTACTAGCACGATGCTGAAGCTCCTCCAAATAAAAGGATTATATGGAGGGCTGGCTCACGAAGACCCCATGAGCATATTCAAAACTTCGTGGATGTTTGTGGTCCGTTCTCATTCAAGAACATATCACAAGAATCAGTCTCTCTCAGGTTGTTTCCATTCTCTTTGATGGGTGAAGCAACCAAATGGTTGGCTGAGTTACCAAGGGACTCCATCACCTCTTGGGATGAACTTACCATAACATTCTCTGTGAGATTCTTTCCTCCATCGAAGATGATGACGCTCAGGGATAGGATCCAAGGTTTCAAATGCTTGGAAGGTGAACCAATCCATGAGACGTGGCTGAGATTTAAGAAGTTGGTACTGATGGGAGAATAAAATGAGAAAGTTTAGACAAGTTTTAATGTGAATTTTGCAATTTTTGGTATACTTTTCATGTATATAAGGTGGTCAATTCAAATTTTGAACATGATTAGTGAAAAAGGGGTAAATGAAAGAAAAATGAGCAAAAATTGGAGTAGTAGCTTTTTCGCGCACCCGGCGGCGCTCCCGCGTGAATTTTGAGCTGCATACTGGTTCTCCGAGCGCCATTCGCGCGTCCAAGTGCCTGCACAGCGCGCCTGCGTGGAGTTGCGGCGTGAAAACATAAAAGTAAGGGTGTATTTGGAATTTGAGAAAGAAGAAACCCTATGCTATATGATGTTGGAGCTTTCCCCAAGGAATGGGTACCAGGAAAAAGGAGCAGAAAGAAAGACGACGAGCGCGAGGAAGGAGAAGACGCGGTACACTACTCGAATCCAAAATGGAAGTTGGGATTCACAGTTTGATGGCTATGTTTTCGTTTTCTCTTTTGTTCTTAGTAAACTTATTCTCATCCATGGAGTAGATTCTTAGAGGGTATATGACAAACATGTTGTATTGATGAATTTGTTGGGATTTTGATTTTCATTCTTATGCTTGAACTTGTTATGGGAATTCGAATTAAATTGCATCCTTGTTCATTATTTTATTTAATCGAAAGAGGAATATATTGGTGAATATTGTTGCATAGTTTTGTTGAATTGAATCAATACACTTTCTCTAAAGTAATCGAAGGAGCTTCTTGATAATTATTGATTAAATCTAAAGGAAAAATAGTCGAAGGACGTTACTTCCTTAA